AAATTTTAACACTCCAGCTACTCTGGTTGTAGAGTTACATCAAATTTTACGTGTTCGTATTTGATGGGAAGCGCGAATGCTGTTGCCGTGTATGCTTACTTAAACATGGCCCTGGGCCACGTTCGGAAAATTTCGGCGCTCTAGCTGCTTTGTTTGCGAATTTACGCCAAATTTCACGTATGTACACGTGAAACAACAAAGGGGCGTGAAAGCTGTTTCTACGTTCACCTGACCAAACGCCGCTGTCGGTTATCCCCAGAAAGTTTCAATCATCTTACTGCTCCAGTTCTGAAGCCACAAAACTGCTTGCGTGGAATCTCCACGTGTCCGTGAGATGCAGAGAGGCCGAAAAGCTCAACTCACTTTCACTAGCACATCAGTGGACGACAAGTAATACAGAAAAATTACAATGCTTTACAACTTTTCGGTTAGCTTACACCTGGGGTTGGCATGGTGCCAGTTTAGACTTCAACGTGCGCGTATGTAAGACCTAAAGGAGCGTGAAGGTTAAATTTGAAATCTTTGGGTTAGATATAGCCAAGGAATATCTGTGTGAAGTTTCAGCCTTCTAGTCTGCGCCGTTGCGAAATCACTTTCCTGCCGAAAAAATTTCACTTGCCTATACGTCTGTGCAGATTAAGTTGCTGAAGTTTCGGCCCTGTGGCTTTTTTAGATCTCGAGATGAGAACTCGGTACAGACATACACACAGACACATGTACATACAAACAACCCTTTGACAGTATGCGCTTTTGCATTAAACAGATGCAAAAAATGCATAATATAATGGTACCAAAGTTGAAAAGCTGCTATAACTTCAATCTAAAAAAGATCTTCAAAAAATGGAAATATGCTTGTGTTAGAACAGAACAGTTACTAAAACTCGGCTCGGCCTATTCTAACGCTCGCCAATTCGCTCGGCATTTTGCCGAGGAGATAGGTAGCGCTACTCAGTGAACGGCAAGTAGAATGCGTAGTTGGGAGGAGGAGAGAAGAAGAGGTGGGTAGCGGTGGGTGCGTACTCAGATACAGTTTCGGAGGCAGGGATTAGGGCAAAACAGAGGAGAGGAACAGGGAGGCTAGTGAGGTGTACGGAAAAATTGGCAGTTGCCTGGCCACGTAAGGAGGAGGGAAAGAGGTGAAGGGTGGAAAGGAGGGAAGCAAGAAAAAGACACATTCCCTGTGTCTCGAATCCCACACCCAAAAAATATGCTCATGCACTGCCAACCTCCCTCGCTCCTGCACTCTCTGCAGTGTATCCCCCTCCTCAGCCCCTTCCATACCCCAAGTATCCGCGGCAAAATCCAACCACACGGTTCCTCCTTCTTTCCGCCTATTATACCTCCCTCTCCCTTCCCTCCTCTAGTGAACACGCCATGTAACCACTCGATTCACCCTAGCAACTCCGTCTCCCCTACCTCTAATCCCCGCGCTCGGAACCCCGCATACGCCCCCTCCACCACCACACCATTCGCAGCTGCAGCA